CCCTAAAGCATCCCCGAGGGCCGACGGAACTGGAGCTCTGGGTGGTGACCTGTGGGCCCCGACTGCTGGGGGCTGGGAGAGAATACAGGGAATGAAAATGAAGCATGTGGGCCGGAGAACCTGCCTGGGCTGCAGACCTTTCTGAGAGGTGAACTTGGGGACCAGGCACGAGAACACAGCACCTGGAAAGTAGAACCCCGTGATCCAGACCAGAGAAGCGGGATCATGGAACTTAGAGGAGGAAAATGGAGCAGCAGACCTAGAATGTGGGCCTTCCAGAACCTGAAACACTCAAGTCAGCCGGAAGCTGGAAGATCCAGTCTGTGCCCCCGGTGGTCAGTGGGGGAAACTGAGGTCTGGCAGGAACGGGGAGGCCTTGAGCATTGGTGAGCTGCAGTGGCACGCACGTGGTCTCTGCTGAGCCAGGCCCTCCCCACAGCTCGCTGCTGCCTGACCTCGGGCGCGTCCTGTCCCCTCTCCAAACCTCAGTTTCCCCATCTGTGAAATGGCCACGTGACGGTCAAACAAGATGGAGCACTTCACCTGGTGCTCAGGCTCTCCCGGGAAGCTAGTGGCATGGCTAAGGCCTGGACCCTGGCCACCTGACTCCTGAATGACTCTGACCCCTTGTGGTGATGGTCTGGTCACTGCTGTTCCTTTTTCTTCTTTCTCACCCTCAGTGGGACGTTTGGGCACTTGCGGCCCTTTTCCAGAATGCTCTCGGGATCTAGCAGGGGGAAAAGACTGACTAATCAGAGGAGCAAGAACAGACTGGCGGCTCCATATGAATTCAGGAGCAGGGGCCCAGTGCCTAAAGCCCTGCATGGTGCCCTGTGCCATTTGGTGAGGGCTTCTTGAGCGTCCCCCGGTGGAGACGGTCGGGTCCTGAGCCGAGCGTGCTGCGGCCCCTTGAAGGCAGGGGTGGGCAGAGGTGGATTGGGAAGGAAAAAGAGAAAGGGCTCATTGTTCCAGCTCCACGGAGGCTCCCCAGGTGCATCTGCTCCAGGCCACCTCTCCTGAAGGAGGTGGATGACCTTGCTCGGGCTCCCAGAGAGCTGGAGCTGTAGGTTCTGGGCCAGGAGCAGCCTCGTCACTTCCCCAGATCCCTGTGAGGCGGCGTTACCAGCACCCGCTTTTCTGCCTCCGAGAGAGTAGGATTCCAGAGTTGGGGGCGGGGGGCAGAGCCAGGGTTCCAGCCCATCCTTTGAGCCAGCAGCAG